GTAGCGCATGCCTGTAATTCCCGCTACTTGGAAGGCTGAGGCGGAAGGATCGCTGGAGCCCAGCAGGTCGAGGCTGCAGTGGCCGGGAGCGGCCACTGCACTCCAATCTGGGTGACAAAGTGAGACTCCAACTCAAAAAAAAAAAAAAAGGAGGGGAAAGAGTCCCAACATTCAAGAGTGGTTGGAAAGGGGGAAGCGAGGTGATATGTGCAGGTACTGAATAGAGAGTGGGTGGTAATTCCAGTGAGGAAACCCCTGGGCGTGGGCAGGAGCGGACCTGGTGGTAACTGCAGCCCTCTCTTGTCTCCCATTCCCTTCCAGTTGGACATGGACAGAGCGAAGGGGAGAGGATGGTAGTGTCTGACTTCCATGTTTTCATCAGGGATGTATTGCAGCATGTGGATGTCATGCAGAAGGACTACCCTGGCCTTCCCATCTTCCTTCTGGGCCACTCCATGGTAAGCAGACCACACAAGAGCCCGTTCAAGTCAAGCCTGGCCCCAGCTCCCTCCCCCCTCTGCTCTCGCCCGGCTGGCACATTCCCCTTTGCACACCCTGCACTTGGAGTTCCCAGGCAATTTAGTGCTTAGGAAACGGGCCAGGTTCTGAGTCCTGGAGACGGCCCCAGAGGGAGCTCGGGCAGTGTCCATTCATCCTCGTCAGGGCTTGAGGGGCAGGGGTTGCCAGCCAGACCATACCGAGCCTCTGAATGTGGGGCCTCTTGGGAAACTGATCATTGTTTCCAACCCTTTGGTCTCCCCCACGCCATTTCATAGTGAGGCTACTAAGAGCCACTTCGCAGAGCGGGGATGGCTCTTCAGTCCACGGGAAGCACACGGAATGCCCCCAAACTCTGCATGCTTGTTTTAGAACTGTGCGGCACAAATGACAGCTGGGGACAAAGGGGCCCCAGAGAAACGATTCCTTAAAGCTTATCCAAACTCCGTTCACCTTTTAAACATATGAAATCCTCCACAATCAACCAAATCTAATCTTTGAATCAGGGTTCTCAAACTAGCAGCCCCCAAGTCAAATCTACCTACAGAAAAGGGGCTGGCTGTCTGGCAAGGGATCTTGAACGGACTGAATGCGGATGCCCTGGGGACATTTCCCCAGGCGCTTCCCCTCCTGCTCCTTTGTCACTGCCTGGCTCCGTCCCTACATTCCTCTTACCTGTCTGGCCTCAAGAGATGGCAGCCCTCGGTGTAAGTCACCTTTGGGCTTCGGCAAACAGGCCAGGCCTTCCTCCCGCAGTATCATCACATTCACTGAGTATTTTCCTTGGAACCAAATTTCTGGGACTTCTCCTGGACCAGGAGGAAAGTGTCGCCATCTCTTATTATGACTGGATTGCCCTCCACCAAAATATATATATTCTGTTAAGCCTTTTGCAATGGGTGAACTGGGGGTCTGCCAGCTTTGGGCTTGAAATGAAGTACGAATGTGTTCTTGTTTAACTTGCAGCCCACAAGCAGGAACCTTATTTATATCTCTCTGAAATGTTTGCTTTTGGAAAAACCCAGAGGGGGAAAGAAAACATGTGTAATAAAATAATTGCAGATCTAGTTTATCCAACATTTGGCGGTGTCTATTCCAAGGTAGTCCTCCTCAGGGCTCTGGGCCAGGACTGCAGTTTAAGAGGATGGCACCGGCTGTGTTTATTAGAAGTCACGTGCGTGGGCGCAAGCTAGAGTGCCACAACTCTGCCCATCTTGCCTTGCAGGGAGGCGCCATCGCCATCCTCACAGCTGCAGAGAGGCCGGGCCACTTCTCTGGCATGGTCCTGATTTCACCTCTGGTTCTTGCCAGTCCTGAATCTGCAACAACTTTCAAGGTAAAAGGACTTTCCAGTCTGCACACCCACACATTCCCGGGGACATGGAGCATCCGTTTATAGCGGGAGTCTGGGTCAAAGAGCCCAAAGCCGTCCTTGGACTTCAGACACGATTGTGTAAAGGTTTGGACGAATACCAAACACCAGGGTTCTGTAATTTTTGAAGTCAGGTGTGTTTTTCCCCAAGACAAAAGAAAAATGGCATCCTGTTTGCGCATATTTTTTTGTTTTGTTTTGCTTTTTTTTTTTGAGTTGGAGTCTCACTCTGTTGCCCAGACTGGAGTGCAGTGGCTGCTCCCGGCCACCGCAGCCTAGACCTGCGGGGCTCCGGCGATCCTTCCGCCTCAGCCTTCCAAGTAGCCGGAACTACAGGTGCGTGCTACCATGACCGGCTGATTTTTTGATTTAGAGATGAGGTCTCTCTGCCCAGGCGGGTCTCGAACCCGCGGGCTCAGGCAATCCACTCACCTCAGCCTCCCAAAGGCGTGGGATTACAGGCTGAGCCATCGAGCCGGCGTTGCGCATATTTTATTGGTGAATTTTGAAAGGAGAAGAGGTTACATGTGTTATCAGTGCAGCGAAGTCACTTTAGCTAACGAATCACACGCAAGGCCTGGGCTGTTTTTCACCAACTGTTTGTCGACAGCATTAGCAGAAAGTGAGCAGTGAGTGGAATTGCAGGCAGTTCCTAATTGCAGCATCAACTGGCGCTCATGGCAGCTCTCCTCCATCCCTGGGTGCTTTCAACCTTTGACTCTGAGGGGTTCATCATTTTGTTTTTCTGGTTGTAATGATTCACGTGAATGACACCCACAGCAGGTGCTGGGGCTTAGGGCTGCTCTTGACGAGGCCGATGAGCCAACAGGTGATACCTAGAAACGGAACCAGTGACTTCTGTCTTTGAGAAACAAGATGAAACCAGTAGGCTCAGCTGGGCTGGTTAGTCATGACTCCGGTTTGCTGACGTGGTGTCAGTATAGACCAGACCTTATGGGGCGTCAGGTTTTAGATAGATACATGATCCCAGGGTGAATGGAGAATCCCAAAACTGTTATCTCAAGGAGTGCACAGTCTCACCCCAGTGCTGGGTGGGGGCTGCTGCCTGCCAAGCCAGTTCTTGGGTCTCTCGAAGGAGAGTGAGGGGTGAGGTGGTGGGTCACGGGCCATGAGCACTGGGCAAACCTCACCTCACGGACTTACCCTGTGGTCTCACCATCAAATGGCATTTAGATAATGGCATCAGCGCTTATGCCCCCTAGTATTCTCAGAACCCAAATAGTATAACACGGTACAGGGAATGAAACCTTATAAAAATGTCCTTTAATGTTTCCTTTAGCCTATGACCACAGACTGGATCTTGGCCCTAGAGACAGGTTTCCAGTTGCATACAGGCAATCTCCGCACGCTGAAATGGGTTATGGACTGGGCACAAGAGAAACCTGGAGCTGATAGTTGAGTCAGAAAACAACGATTTGCTAATTCCCCGAAGAAGAGAGATGATTACCTCCTTGAATTTTAGTCCAGTGTAAGGAAATCACGACTGACTTATTGAAAGCGACTTACTATCATTAGTAAATTTCAGTGCCATGTGAGACAGTGCTAAGGTCTGTCAAAGTAATGCACAGACGGGCACTGCTTTCTCTTCACTGAAATGTGCGGGAGGAAACAGACCTATCCAGCCTTGCCCACGGTGACTGTGATCCTGTAAACGTGAGGGCAAATGACGCAAAGGTTCATATGTCCGTAGAACAAGCAAGGCTGAGTTCATGGAGGAAGAGGCGTTCCCCTTGCGCCTGTGTGTCTGATGTGGAGAGCCCTGAAGAGCAGTGAGAGCCGGTACGCCCTGGGTGTTCACAGGCTCACCTCACGTGGCTCCTCTTCTGCCTGGGAACAGGCCACGCCCAGTAGAAACCAAGACTTGTGAAGGGTGGGTAACTTTCCAGGATCACACAACGTGTGTGGTAGGATTGAGTCCCGGCTGCCCACTCCCCATCTGCAATATTTTCCAATGGCAAAAAGTGGATGTCTCTGACGTGGGTGTTTTTCCTTAGAGAAAAGCCAGGGACCACAGGGCTTTTCAGGTCATGTGCACCAGGGGCACGCTGGCAGCTGGGCCCAAAGGAAGGGCAAGATTTCCTCCAAGAGTCCCCTGGGGCTCCCGTGCTGACTGGAGGAGGGGATGCTTCTGGCCACCCCTGTGACCTTTCAAAGCCTTGTGCTAATAGATCACCTTGTCAAATCAAGAGTCAGCAGCCCTGGGGGAATGTGGGTCTCCTTTTATTAACTGAGATGAATTAGATTTCCCTTTGCCCCAGACCTGAGGGCCCCGCCCCCCTCCCTGAAATCTCTTGGTCCTGAAGCTCTGGAGTTGTGACTGACAGAGACAGTGGCATGTCCTTCTGCCCTGTCCCTGGAGTTCTTGGTCACTGTCCACATATTTCCTAGTCTCATCTGACAACCTTCCTGAATTTATTTCACAGTACTTCTTTTTAATGCAACTAAAAAATTTCAAAAAACAACACATTTATACTGTTAAAAATTCAAAAGATAAAAAAGGGGGAAGTTTCCCTCCTGGCTGGGGTCGGGCAGCCCGTGTCACCGGGGATAGTCCATGCATCTACGGTCCATGCGTACACGCCCCACTTGTTCTTTTCTACAAAGTGGAAGTGTGTTCTGTGCACCCTCGGGGTGGGGTGGGGTGTCTCGTGTGTTTGTGTGTGTGTTTGAGGGGGCTGGCATGTTTGTGTGAGGTTTGGTTTTATTTTGTGGTTTGCTTTCGTTGCTCCTGCCTCTTCCGGACCTAACAAGGATCCCACTGCAGGGACTGGGCCTGGTTTAGGCAAGGTCCCTGCTAGTAGAAATTTGAGTTGTTTGCTCTTATGAACCTCAAAGATGGCGTTCTGGATAAGAAAACTGTGGAGGTGAGGGCTGGGGGCTTTCCTGAGTCAGGCTGTGAGCGAGTGGCAGAGCAAAGTTGAGTCCCAGACTGTTGGCTCCTGAGACAGTACTCAGTTCACCATCAAACTGTTCGACAGCTGGTATCATGGCACTAAGCACTGCCTAGAGCACCTGCCCCAGTTACTAAAGTGGGCAGCGTAAGACACCTGAGTCCTTGGTTACAGACAGGTGTGTGGAAGATGACCAGGCCCCCTGCAGTGCCAGATTGCCACCACCCTCCTAAATCTCGCTGCCATCTGGCTGGTTCTTCAACAGGCTGAGATATATTTAGCCTGGAGAAGAGACAATGAGGACAGAGGGGCCCCTAAACATTGTCTCAGCTGAGAAAGTGGTTTCAGAATGAAAGTGGCAGCAGCAGAAATTTAGAAACAAAAATTCCCTACCTCGGAATGAGTCTCGGCTACTAGTGAAGCCATCTCATGGGGCTCATCCCCACATTTCATGCCTGGCTACAGAGGTCAAACCCATGGCCTCCCAGCTAGCAGAGTGTCAAACTCCAGGCGCACCTTGGATCTCATCTGTCCTTGTCCAGGAAGACATTCAGGAATGTGTCGCCGGTTACAGGGTCCCTTCTTTCTCTGGGCACCTCTGAGGAAAGACAGATCCCCTGGGCTGAGCTTGAGAGATGGGGGTCTCAGCCTGCGGGGAGAGTGGTCATTCTCAATGACTTCTGCCTGTTGCCCGAAGGTGTCCCCTGGAGGCCTGGGGCAGGAATGCCGGAGCCAGCCAGTTTGGCTGGGCCAGGCACCTCACCAGGTCGGGAGCCTTGTATTCAGCGCCTGACAAACATTATGCTGCTTCCTCTCCAGCACTGCCCTGGAAGGAGGGGAGATTATTCCCAACTTACAGACAAGGAAAGGAGGCTAATTATCTTGCCCAGGGTTCATTTGAACACCAGCTCAGGCCAGTGTGTGCGCCAGGACACCCCCTTCACCCAGAAACACACCCAAGTTCGGCTTCTCTTGACTGCAGCTTACTTCCCATCTAAATGTCGCTCATCTGTTTTTAGTCACTAAAATCCACAGGTCTTTGAGGCACCAAGTGGGGGTTGGAGGCTGGAGGGGAAGCAGGTGTGGCACGGGGAGATGCCACTCTTTCAAACTTCAGGTGGGTCTAGACCGGGAACCCGGGATGCAGGAGCGCGCACTGGCCCGTTTGGCAGCACTGTGGAGGAGCCGCTGTGGGCCATTAATTTGCCTCCCACTGGCTCCTGCTCTCTGATATCCAGGTTCCACAGTGCTAAGAATGAGTCATCTTCCCAGCAAGCCCCGCCCCCACATCTTCAGCGAGCCCTTGCTCTGTGTCTAGGAACAGTGTCCTGTCCTTCCCACGAGGCTCCCTGGAAAAGGCCCACAGCACTTTCTATTTCATGTCTGCCTTAAGTGCACTTTCCCTCCCAAGAAAATCTGGTGTGCCCCGAGGGTCCTTGCTATGTCCTGTGTGTGGCCAACCCTGCCCGACCTCCGTCATAATGGTGACGCAGGTGGGGAGTCCTGGTCCCCGCCCACAGGTCAGCTTGCTGGAACCACTTTAGCAGAGAGCATCTGTAATCGCCTTCCTCCTCCCGAGTCAATCGCTGGCAGCAGCTTAGAGATGATCATGGGGAGCCATTAAAACCTTTCAGATCAATAAAGGCATCTGTGCGTGTCTCTAGTATTTAAGGCGACAGGCGCTGCAGTTCATCTGGAATGCCCCCGAGTCCCTCGCTCAGCGGGATGCTGACTCTAGCTGTGGGGGCATCACCCTCGTTTGCGGGTGACTGCGTCACTTGTTGCGAAGCTGCAGGTCACAGGCTTTTCCTGAAGCCTCTACTTTGAATGATATTCACTCATTCATTCAGCCGACCCACACGTGTTCAGGGAGCTTCTCAGGGCCAAAGCCAGAACACGTCAGGAACAGGCTCTGCAGGGCTGAGGCGTCAGGTGACTCTCCCAGCAGTCCTTGGAGGCTGTATTCATTCTCTCTGTATTATAGATGCAGAAACTGAGGGTCATAAGCTTTCTCAAGGGTTCAGAATCAGAGCTTGAATCCCAACTCGACTGCCTCTGAGCCTGAGTCTGATTTCTCCACTTCAGCATCTGCTTCTTCCAGTCCTGAGACTGTGTGGCCATTTGTTGTGGGTTTTGGCCTCCACGACGACGCCTGAGGTCTGGGTTGAGTTGGCACCACGGGAGCTCTATGGTGGCACAAGCCTGGCTTTTCCTGTCAGGTTGTGGGGCTGGTGGGGGTCTCACCTCCACAGGGTGGGCTCGTCCAGGAGCGCCTCTCTCCTGAGCTAGATCCAAGGCTCTCTCCGCACTCTGCAGGATTATCCGAAGACTTTGAAAGACTTGATTGAAAAGACATCAAGAACGTTAATGTTTTGGATTCCAATTCCTTTTTGGGTGAGCAACTCCCCTCCGAGGCTTCCTGGGTGTGCTTGTGGCTCGTGGCTCGTGGTGGAGGCTGCGGGAGGTGACCACGGGGGCAGCGGCGGCCATCTTGTCAGCCTCGACAACATGATCTCTGTGGTGTGGGGTCTGCCACGACTGTCCTTCCCGCTGCCCGCTTCCTTGCCAAGCGGCTCAAATACACCCTCCCCCCTCCCCATCCCTGCTCAAGCCTCTGTTTTCCTCCTTCCACAATCAACCTCATTCCTCTGCTTAGGTCTTTCTCCTCCCCTCTGACCCCCTCCTCCTTTGGGGACTGTTAGGCTCATGAGATCAACAAGCCTTGGAAGAACAGCGGAGAAAGGGAATCCCTTGTGCAGTTGTTCTCCTCTTTCTTGAGGTTGTTGAGAGGGAGAAGCAAAGCACCTACTTTTTTTTAAGCCATGAGGTTACCGGCATCAGAAGAGTTGCCTTTACTCAATGGAGTCTTACTAGAAGTGTGGCTTGGAACTCGCTATTAGGCAGGTTTAGAAAAAGAGCTGAAGGTCAGGGCTGCGCAAACCTCTCAGGATGGCTTCTACAAAAGGGCAGCTTGCCCTGAAGGGACGTCTGCACCCCCGTCCTAACAGTGCATGTCAGGAGCACTTCTACTCTGGCTGCACGTGGGAGTCACCCAGGGAGCTGAAGAGACACCGGGGTCAGGGCCCCACCTCAGGCCGATGTGATCAGAGCCTCGCAGGGTGGGACCTGGGAAGAGGTGTCTGTGGTGCTTCTTGAGAGCCTGGATGGAGGTCGAGGCCTTGGCACTCCGGGGTATAAATGTTTTGGTTTAAGAGGTGCTGGCAGCAGAAACACAGATTCGAGGATGCAGGTAAGTCTGTCTCTTCACCAACGACCAATCCTGAAGGTAGACTGGCACCCCCATGTCCAGGTACATGCAGAATCGGGTGGCGGGCATCTGAAACGTCGATGGTTGGCAAAATGAGAAATCTGGTGGTGGGCTCGGGATAAAATGGAATGAATGCTGCTGGCTCTGTCTCCTTCACCTCTGTGGCAAGTGAGTGCCGAGGACTGTGTCCGCAGGCCTTTTCCTGGCTCTCAGCCATCTGGTCTAGAAAAGAGTAGGGAGCCGGCTTACAGAAAAGCGGCGGGTCCTTCCGAAGGCTGCAGGGGACTGGGAAGGCAGACAGGCCAGCCTGGGAGCAGCATCCAGGAAGCTGGCGTTTGCACACCACCCTGTCCCACCCAGCCTTGCTGCAGGTCCTGAGGGCGGCAGGGGCCACACCCAGTCAGTGCCCACCCCGGGTTGTTCATGGAGCTATGGCAGCCGTCCCCAAGAGCCGCGGAATACCTAGAGGTCAGTTCCGTGTCACCTTGGAACACACATTCGGACGTGTCCCTCCCTCATCATGCTGCCCTTGACTGCTGTGGCTGGCGGGGACAGACAGATCCCTTGGAAAGTCTGTCTTTCTTACACAGTCGAAGCAAGTGAAGCCTCAGAACCACAGCCCGCTGCCTGTCTGCACGGATCTGCTCCATTTTCTCATCATTTTTAGTTTTTTCACCTAAAAACTCGAACTTTTAACCCTCCTCCAGAATCTGGCAGGTTCCCAGAGGAGCTCCCAGTTCTTACAGTTCACAGACTGGGATCTGTGTTTGAAAATGCCCCCCTCTGTGCAGCGCTCCCAACATTCTGGGCTTTCCCCGGCCCAGGGAGCTGCCTGGACTCTTGAACATGCCTGGCATATCACACCCCTCCTTTGGGGTTTCAGATCGTGTAGACAGACTCACGGCCTCGCGCATTGCTCAGAATTGGAATGCCTCATGTATGTCTACACGAGTCTGTAGCAAGTCAGGGCCCAGGGCTCGGCAGAACACCCAGCACGCTGATGGCAGCGGTCAGCATGAGTGAGGTGTGCTTGCCTGGATGCCGAGGCGGGCGTGCGTTGAGCTATGATACTCTCAGGGCCGGGGTTGCCATCCTTGCACTAAAAAGGAATCACTGGTTTTTACCGTTTGAGAAAAGGGGAGCTGACTGTGTGGAATGCAAAACAGGCGTGTGCATGTGGGCTCCCTTAGGAACACAGCTCTTTCTTACTGTTGGCCCGATCCCTGCGGGTCTGAGAAGCAACTGTGGTATGAAGTGACATCTCCCTCGTGCAGGCCTAGGAAGCAGGAGGGTTAGTTCTGGTGTGAAGGGAGCTCAGGGCAAGAACAGCAGTGGTGTCTCCTCAAAGGACATCCGTGGCTGCTGTTGTTGAACATCCGTGGGGAAGTTTAGATGTCTCTATTGCATTCACACGCACAGGGAGAGATAGAAAGAGACAGACAGAGAGACGGAGACAGAGAAAGAGACGAGAGAGAGAGAGATACAGAAAGGGACAGAGAGACCGACAGAGATACAGAGAGAGACAGACAGACAAGAGAAAGAGACAGAGAGAGAGAGACAGAGACAGAGATAGGCCAAGCACTCCAGACCACATGGGCCCCAAGGGAGAGAGTGCCCCCAGCCACTGCTCCCCCCCCCCCCCCCCGGCCTCATGGGGCTGAGCCTCCATTTTCTCCCCTGTTAAGTGAGGGCAGAACCTCACCTCACAGGACTGTGATGAATATTGAAAGGCTCCACCCAAACCCGGCAAAAGAGGGTCCCTGGGGTGCACGTTGATGGCCTCACCCTCTGTCATGTGCTCTTGACCTGGCTGAGAGTTCGCTGCTTGCCACCTTCCACGATTCCAATTTCAGCACCTCACAGCCCACTTTTGAAAGAGCATCTTTCATCCCCAAATGTGTGCATATCGCAGGAATGAAGACAGCCCCCCTCCAAAGACAAAAGTATGAGATCCGGGCTCTCTGTTTGCCTGGGAAAACATGAGATCCATAAGGAGAGATGGGGGAGGGGTGGGAAGGCTTGGGCCTGAGTCAGGTTCAAGTTCAGTGAGCAAGTATTTCGCACCGACTGAGTGCCCAGGCTTTTACACACAGGGTGTCATTAACCTTCCCCATGGTCCCCTGGGGAAGTGTCATGGTCCCCACTGGCAGCGAGGAAATGGAGGTTCAGTGACACTGAGATCGTGGCCCACACTGGCCAGGCAGCAGGGCTGGGAACCAAATCCAGGTCTCTTTCCTTCTGCCTGATCAGGCTGGTGATTGTTTCTCCCTCCCTCCGAGAGAAATCGATGCCCAGATTCTTTCCAATCCAGCGTGGCTTCTTGGGCCTTTGATTTGCTGGCCAGGCTCGGTGGCTCAGCCTGTAATCCCGCACTTTGGGAGGCCGAGGTGAGTGGATTGCCTGAGTCTGCGGGTTCGAGACCCGCCTGGGCAACTTGGCGAGACCTCATCTCTACAATAAATCAAAAATTAGCTGGGCGTGGTAGCACGCGCCTATAATTCCAGCTGCTTGGAAGGCTGGGGCGGAAGGATGGCCAGAGCCCAGCAGGTTGAGGCTGCGGTGGCCGGGAGCGTGCCACTGCACCCCGGTCTGGGTGATGGAGTGAGACTCCAACTCAAAAAAAAAGAGCTGACTTGCTTCCCTCAGCTGATCCAGTGATTCTGCGCCTGCCAAGTATTCTTCATACCCCTGAGAAATGGCCTGCATACGAGAGCTCAGCCCAGGCAGCTGTTGCAAAGAATCCAAAATTACAGCCCACAAGTGCGTGTGGCCACACAGAACCCAGAGCAGGCCACAACCAGCTGTGACTTCCCGCCCCAGCCTCACCTGACCCCCTGTGGAGCAGAGCCAGCCTGCTTAGAAGCTGTCCAAGTCAGAAGGGGAGACCTCGGGTGTTTAATGCTCAATCTTGAGCAACGAGCCTGGCTCAGGTTCAGGGTAGGCCCTGAATTTCCCGTAAGCTGTCACTTAGGAGGATCACCCTTGTGCTCACATCTCTTGTTTTCCTTTCCCGGCCAGGTCCTTGCTGCAAAAGTGCTCAACCTTGTCCTGCCAAACTTGTCCCTGGGGCCCATCGACTCCAACGTGCTCTCTCGGAACAAGACAGAGGTGAGAGGCTTTCCGAAAGCCTGGGGGTAGCTTGGGGCCCCTGCAAAGGCAGCAGCCCCTGTGGGAAATCTGAGTTCTGGTTCCATCCTCGCATTCTGCATTCTGCACCCTTTTGCCGAGGCCCTGTACCAAGTGATGGGGACTCGATGAAATGTGCAACATTGTTGACTTCAGGTCTGGGTGAAAAGGGAGGGCTGGTTGTCATTCCTGAGCTGTGTCCTAAACATGAAAAGAAGCTAACTAGAGGGAAGTGTGTGTGAGTAACCAGTCAAGTTTCTTGCTTCCAAGTGACAGAAACCCAAGCCAAAGTGATTTAAGCAAAAGGAGAGATTTGGTGGAGAATGGAACTGAAGGCTTCAGGCACGGCTGGATCCAGGGGATCAAAAGTCTTCTTCTCCAGCTCTCATCTCCCCTGGCTTGGCTTCCTTCCCAGATAGGTTTTCTCCAAGCAGAGGCAAGAAAGGCTACCAGCAGTTTTACTGGGGCAACCCCAGTGGAAAAACAGCACCTCTTTGCTGCAGAAGTCTCAGGGATGACTGTTATTGGCTGATTGTCCGAGCCTGGGTTATTTATCCAGGAAATGGGGTCAGTGTCAGCCCAATCTACCCATAGACTTAGAGAAGAGAAATGCAGTTCCCTGGGAGTAAATGAGATAGTGGTAGCAGGTGAGCAAACTGAACCCCATAAGGTAAGAGGAATTGCCTGGGGTCACCCACTGGTGGGGTTAGCCTGAGAACTTGGGTAAGTGTGGTCTTCAGCCCTGCTCTGTCTGTGGGGGGCAAGGGCCCCTGCAGCCAGTGGATAGGAGGCATCTAGAAGACACCAGAATTATCTTTGTGATTAAGCAAAGCAGTTTGCCATTCTTCTGCCTCTATTTCCCCTCTTGCCTTAGGCGTGTGGAATCATGTCATCCCTGGCTCTCTAAGTGCCCTGGGAAGTGGAGTGGGGTATTCTGACATTCCAGGAGCTTTCCCGGGTTTCCTTGGGCAGTTGGACTCTAGCTTCATTATAAAATGTGGCCTCCGAGTCCCTTAGAGAGTGGGCAGCTCTACGAGAATAGACCATAGTGTGTAGGGAGGAGACATTCAGGTCAGGGATCAAAAACTCATGCACCTCCTGGGGCCAACTTTTAAAAAATCAGGCTGGTGAGAGATGCTTGGAAGCCATGAGGCCAGAGGGCATCTGATCCATTCAAGTCACATTAGTCTAAAATTGTATAGCCGTACTGCCCATTGAAACTGGACTGGATTAAACAAAATGTACATATACACAATGGAATATTATGCAGCCGTAAAGAAGGACACGCCTATGGACTTTGCAGCAACTTGGAGGGATTTAGAGTCTGTAATACTCAGTGATCTCTCACAGAAACAAAGAGCAGAGTACCACATGTTCTTACTCATGAGCAGACCCTGAACATTTGCCATCAGACTGTAAGAAAGGGATTGGCAGTAGCAGGAGACTGCCGGGGTGGGACACAACATCAATAAGGGTCCCCGATCTCAAACCAGGTGAAGTGGGAGCCAAAGGGAGGCCCAAACTTTACCTGTATGATGTCCACTTGTATACTAATCCTGAGTTGCACCCCACATCTTTAAAATAAAATTTAAAAATTAAAAACAAAAAAAATCAATAAAATTTTATAGCCAGGCATGGCAGTACACGCCTGTAATCCTACCTACTCCAGAGGCTGAGGAAGGAGGATTACTTGAGCTCATGAGTTCGAAGTTACTATGCGCTATGGTCACACCAGTGCACTCCAGCCTGGGAAACAGAGAAAGACCCTGTCTCTAAAAAAATTAAGTAAAATAAAATGTTAATATAATTTGATTTTTAAAACCCACAGTACCTTTCAAACCCATACCTTGGGGCCAAATTTGACCCACCAGAGGCCAGAAAGACCAGTGTATGGTCCCTAATCTTTCTGAAAGAATATTTGAGTAAAGAAAAAATATTGGCTGGGTGCAGTGACTCAAGTCTATAATCCCAGTACTTTGCGAGGCTGAGGCGAGAGGATTGCCTGAGCCCCAGGGGTTTGAGACCAGCCTGGGCAACATGGTGAGACGTCGTCTCTACAATAAATCAAAAAATGAGCTTGGCATGGTAGCATGTGCCTGTAGTTCCGGCTACTTGGAAGGCTGAGATGGAAGGATCCCCTGAGCCCAGTAGGGCGAGGCTGCGGTGGTTGTGAGAGTGCCACTGCACTCCAGCCTAGGTGACAGAGTGAGACTCCAACTCAAAAAAAAAAAAAAGAAAAGAAAAAATATTAATTCCATAAAGCAGATCCATACAGTGAAAAGGCACAACTGAAGGACTCCAAAATACCAAAGCCAAATATATACTGTTGGACTTAATCCTGACATGAATGAGACCGACATTAACTCTGAAAGAAGTTTTGGGGGCACCCAGTAACAACTCCACGCCGGTCTGAATCGAGAGATTTATTAAAGGGGCAGTTACACGAAGGGACTGTAACCGAGGAAGGACAAGAGAGAGAGAGAAAAAGAGAGACCGAGAGAGAAAGAGAGTAAGAGAGTGGCGGGGACAGAGAGAGAAAGCAAGGAGGGGAGAGAGGGTGAGAGAGTGTGAGAAAAAGCAAGAGAGGAGAGAGCGAGTGAGAGAGGGGGAGAGAGGGTGAGAGAGAGTGAAAGAGGAAGAGTAAGAGGGAGAGAGAGAGAGAGTGGTGGGGACAGAGAGAAAAAGCAAGAGAGAGAGAAAGAGAAAATGTGTGAGAGAGTGACGGGGACAGAGAGAGGGAATAAGAGAGAGAGAG